GTTGGCACGGTTTTAATACAGCAGCAAAAAAGAAATGACCAGAAAGGCTGAAAGGAAACAAGCGAAGTCCCCCATATGAGGCCACAGGGTTTGGTGGGCCCGCAGAAGAAGGGCCCACACAAGCAGAGGGCACCAGCGCTCTGCACCAGCCCCGGCCCCCGGCTGCAACTCCGGGCAGCCACTTCTCAGTGTCCTCAAATTTAAAATAAGGGAACTAGAATAGCTCAATTTTCCTAAACTTAATTGACCACAGACACCCTTAAAATTATGAGATGCTGACGGAATCCCTATAGATGTTCATTAGATGCAATATCCTTCGATACAGTTAGCGAATAACAGCGAATGGTCTCACAGGCCAATTAATCTGTGCAAAGAATATTAAATTCTTATGTATAATATACATGCATAAATATACCGTAGATACAATTTTATAATATCAGAAATGGTCATATTTTGCATTTTCGAGTAAATATATTTTTAATTAGTAGACATTCCTTCGAGCAGTTTTAGGTTTACAGAAGAACTGAGCAGAAAACACGGCATTCCCACGCACCCTTCTTGGCCCCTCCAGCTTCCCGTGTTGTTATCTTGCATCTGCTGTGGTAATATTGTTTTTAAAAGAAAGAATGTTGTTAGCCTTGACTTTTGTTCACGTGTGTGATGCCGAATGTTGCTCAGAAGACAGTTGGAAAATTCACGGTGGATGCTCTTTAAAGTCCTTTTTGGATTCTCCGGAAAAAAAAAAAGGCTATGAGGCTCCCTTGCTTCCCATCCGAAGTTAGATCAGGAAAAGGACCAAGCCACAAAATGTTCATAGGACGGTGTATGAACCACCAGTAGCATGGCATTGGTCTCAAAGCCTTTTCCTTCCCATGTTATCCTGGTTGAGTCAAATAATAGCCCCCGTTCTCATCTGAGATACAAGGAACCCCCACAGCTAAGCGCAGGCAAACGGACTAGCCCACAGCCATGCACCAACTTCAGAAAAAAGGAAGGAAACCTCCTAATTTCCAGCCCCGGGCAGCCTAGGGGGCGTGCCCAGGCGGACACCTGCTTATCTGAAGATTGAAACCAGGGGTTATACCTGGAGGCTTGAAAGAGGACCAAGCTTCAGGACCAAGGAGAGGAAAGTTCTGCTTTAGAGAACCGGTAAACCAGTCTAAGAAACTCAATTCCTTCCACAAAGGAACAGATAAAAAATGAGATGTGTTCAAAAAGAATTTGAATAAATTCATAGATGGCTCCATAATAAGTTATTAAGGAAAACTCCTAGTCTTCTGACCACTGCCTGGACAATCGCGCCCTTCCGGCGCCTGCGTGGAGTGGACCCCGGGCTGGACGCGCCCAGCCTTGCCTGAATCCAGGGTGGAGTCAGCAAGTCTCTTTTCATGAAAGCAATTTAGAAATATCGCAAAAGGAATTTTTAAAAATTCACTAACAATGACAGCACTCAATTACTTAATTTTCTCTTGATCTTTATCCACACATCTACGTAGCATTTGCATAGTTTATATCATAGTTCATATGCAGATGGTTTTCTGCTACTTTTGGGCAAGATAATTTTATGATTGATTTTGATGTCTATATAATTATGTTATTAAGCATCATAATGGCTCCACCATTTTGCACCATACTAACGTGTCCTATTACACTATTCCTCTACTTTTAGCCATCTAAGTTATTTTCAGTTTTAGATAATCAAAACAATCCTTTAGACCTATCTTTATCTCCTATGGGAATTTAAAAAATGTATTTTATTGGGCTCAATATTCAAAAGAATTATTGCTCCAAGAGAATTTCAAACTGACCCAATAGTTCCAAGAATAGTGCAGAGGCCAGTTGTGGTGGCTCACGCCTGTAATCCTAGCACTCTGGGAGGCTGAGGTGGGAGGATCAGTTGAGGTCAGTGGTTCGAGATTAGCCTAAGCAAGAGCAAGATGCTCTCTCTACAAAAAGTAGAAAAAATTAGCTAGGCAACTAAAAACAAAAAAAATTAGCCGGGCATGGTGAGGTGCACCTGTAGTCCCAGCTACTGGGGAGGCTGAAGCAGGAGGATCGCTTGAGCCCAGGAGTGTGAGATTACCGTGAGCGAGGCTGATGCCTGTTAGGTCCGGAGTGAGAGGGAGACACACGAAGCCTCATGTGTAACAAAAGCTGTTTTATTTTGAGCATCTGGGTGTAGACCGGTGGAAGCCAAAGAGCATCCACCCCAAGGGCGGGGAAAGCCTTTGGTTTTATAGGGGGTTTTAGGGGTGAGGAGTAACACAGGCTGAGATGGGGAGCGGGCAGCTTCGCCCTTTTCAGGGGAGAGGAATGCTGGCTGCTGCACAGTGGCTGCAGCTGTTTGTGGCCCGAGTTAGATTTATAACCTCGGACTCTCCTGACTCCTACGGCTTTTGTTTCAAAGGCTTTCTGGTATTTTTCGGGTTCCCACTGGAACAAACCTAACAACGTCACGGCACTCTAGCCCAGGCGACAGAGCAAGACTCTGTCTCGAAAAAAAAAGGGAATAGTGCAAAGACCGCCCCGTACAACCTGGCGAACTCTTCTTAACAAGAATGACCATTGTTGGGGGCTCTTCCCACACCTTCAAGCTAGTCCAGTTTGGTGTTTCTCGGTGTTCGTGAGGAGTCTCCAGTCCAGGCGAAGGTCGAGACGAGGCATGGCGCGGTAATGATTGCGAGTCCATCGTGATATTTAACCCATTCCCTAAAGAGCCAGATGGCTTCCAAAATCAAACCTTCTTAGTCTGTGTGCAAAATTTCTGCCTTCTGGTCTGAAACCACCTCGTCGTAAGCTTCTCGCCCACTTCTCCTTTCCCCGGCTTTCCGCAGACAACACGCCACTTCCTACTCTGCTGATCAGGGTCTCCGCATGGTCCTCGTGCTGCCGCGTCCCGCCATCCGCCCAGCAGCCCCATCCACGGCCCAGCTGCCACCACCGCCGCCGGGGACTCGGGCCTCCTGCTGCAGAAACAGCGCTGGGAAGGGCCTGCAGGAATCCTTCGTGCAGGGCAGCGTGCCCACGGTGTGCCCACGGCGTCTCCATGTCATCTCGGCCTGGATTTTCTTTCTTTAAAATAAAGGGCTTTGATGCAATGTTCCCGGGATATGATGTCACCAAGATTTACTTTCCTTTCTTTTTCCCCCTTGACTAAAATGAAGGCTCCCATTGTCACTGTGTCGGCCTCTGGACACCTACCTGCCGGAGCTGGGCTCCCCGGGAGCCTATCGGAGGAAACCAATGTCACACTCAGTAGGGACACAAAGGCCCCAGCTTCTGGGGCATTCGCTGGTCTGAGTCATCCTGGTGTATTTCTGCAAAGCTCAGGGCACCTAGTGGTGACCAGCAAACGCTCTACGCTCCATCTCCTGCCCTACGACTGCCCCTCCCTCGTCCAAAACCAGCGGTGCCCACCTCACCGGAGATTCTATGTGGAAATTTTCATCGCTGAAAACCTGAAGGGGGCATTGCGGGCATCCCGGCAGGCCGTGGGGGCGGCCTGTTTCTCCCCCACCTCCAGTCGCCAGTTACCGCAACGTCCTGCCCCTGGGTGTTCCCTGCCAGGCTGCAGGAGCCAACATCCACCCTGCAGTCTCTGCCCGGTCTGGGGTCAGATGTGACCGTCCAGTGAAAACCGTCCTCTCCAGGAGCTGAACGTTTCCTCGTTGCCCTCCTCCACCTCTGCCGCACCACAGCCCCGCAAGCCTCTGCCCCTCTCCACGGCAGACCACCTTGCCAGGAAAGCAGCCGCAGTTCCCCCGGGGAGGGCCACTCAACTGAGTCCCGCCTCCCGCTCTGCGCTGACTCTTCTATGGCCACCGTCGGCGGGGCCACCGCTGGATAAAAATCTGAAAAAGCAGTTTGGCCAGGTGGCATTACCTTCCAACCGGAAAATCAGCTTTCACGGCTCGACAAATATGGCTTTATTTAGGATCATAACACGTGAAATGTAGCCTCTCCTGCAATAACCAGTCACCCTGCAGTCTCCTCCGCCAACCTTCTCTTCCCTCCCCGCGTTCCTTCTCTCAGCCCTCTCCCGTTTCTGAGCCCCGGCCACGTGCCGGGGACACTGTGCTCCTCTCTGATCCCCGCGGCCCGAAGATGAGAGCGCAAGGCTCCCCGCGGTCGGGGTCGGAACTGACTGCGGTCAGCCCCCCATCACTGGCAGAGCTGGGTTCAAACCTAAGACCTTCCCTGCAGGATCTGATCTTTCTCTTCGGTCACTGCAAAAGGTGTCAGCAAGGCGGACATTTCCAGAAGCATTTGCATCTGAAAGCAAGCTCTCAACGCTGAAGGGAGGGACGGGCCCTAAGGGACCGTCCCTGTCCCTGGAGGCTGAAGCAGTGCGGGCTTGGCCCTGCCTCTTTCCCATGCCCACTCAGGGGTTCTGGGCCGAAAAGACCTCAGAGGCCACTAGTGCAGCCTGCACTAACGAGGTGAAATGGTTCTCCCTAAACTTCTAGAGCTGGGCAGTGGCAGGGCGGAAACCCAAGCCTGAGGTTCCCACTGAAGCAGCCCACTTCCCACTGCAGGTGAGGCCGGCCCTCCACCCCCAGGTGCGCTGGTCCCCCCAGCCTCTGTGTCCCCAGGGGCGGATGGACAGCTAACTGCCTCCCAGCCCCTCCCAGGGCGTGCTTGTTTAGAGCTGTGAATATGCCTGTCATCCTGTCGTGACAGGGGCTCGGAACCAGCTGGTCCCCAGAGCCCCTTTTAGGCCTTTGAGATTAGGCCTGTCCAACTCCCGGATTCCTGTGATCCGATGACATCAGGACTGTGAATAATCGGCCTGGCCCAGAGCCAGGATGGCTGTGCTGCTTCCACCGTGAACTTCCTCCCCCTTCGTGAAAACAGGCCCGCCCAGCCCTCGAGGCCTGTCCACTGGGCATCCTCCTCCGGCGGGACCCGCCCCGGCGCCACGACCCCACCCCCTGCCTTGGGACTTAAAGGAGGCGGGAGCTGTTCAGGGGCACTGGAGCTGAGAGCCGGGAGCCCAGGGCCGGAGGGAGGCAGCGAGCCCAGGCAGCAAGCCGAGCCGAGCCGGGGAGAAGTGCGGTAGGTGGGGTCCCTGTGACTGTCTGTCTCCTCTTCTCTCTCTCACAAACCCTCCCGGCAGATGCAGTCAATGACGGACGCCTAAGTGAACGGCCCACTCTGTAATCCGGGCAGCAAGAGGGTCCGCTAGAACCCACTCCAAAGGGGAGCGTTCTTCTGGTGTCTGTGTGGAATTGGGGTGGGCCGAAGGGCTTTGGAGGGGCCAGGGGTGCAGGGGAGAGGACGGGAAGGGACGCATGTCTTGGAGAAGGCTGTGCTTGCGGGTGGAGGGAAAGCGAAGAGAATCACACAGAAACGCTCTGAATAGACAATGGCAGCGCTCGTGACCAAAGGGCAACAAATGTGAAGTCAGCTGCCTTGGGACACATGGTGGGGGAGCAGGGAGGGTCCTCTGGGGTCCTCCCTCCCACAGGGACCCCAGGAAGAGACTGAGACTGCGGCTGCCGGTGGCCGGTGACCTGTCTCCAGGGATGACGGCCTGGTGGGAGGCCTGGGAAGGGGCTGGGGACCTTACTTTGCCCCAGGGAGCCGGGGCCCAGAAATGCTTTGATCTCAGCAGGGCCCCTCCACGCTCTGTAACCTCTGGCCTTTTGCAGGAGGACATCAATCAGGTGTGCAGTCCTCTCTGAGGACTTTTCAATTACAGGGGGGAAGATGACATCAATGTCTTTTATCCCTAAAGCACTTTGCAGGAAGCTATCTAGGCTCTCTAGGGTTTCACTGTCATTATCTTTATTTTCTTAACCTCCTGGTGAGGGCGGGAAGGAAGGAGGCAGAGAAGGAGGGAAGGGGAACAAGCTGAGCTCCCAGGTAATTAATGACAAACTCAAGCGCAAAGAACTGTGGCAACGATGATTTATTTAGTGGCCAATTGGAATAATGTGGTGATCTCCTGCAGTAATTGATGACAGAGAAAAATTGTGTGTGCATGCGTGTGTGTGCGCATGTGTGGGTGTGTGTGGGTGTGTGTGTGTGCGCGTGTGTGGGTGTGTGCATGTGCGTGCATGTGTGGATGCATGTGTGGGTGTGTGTGCACGTGTTTGGGTGTGTGTATATGTGTGCGTGCATGTGCGTGTGCGTGTGGGTATGTGCGTGCGCGTGTGTGCGTGTGTATGTGGGTGTACACGTGTGTGGGTGTATGTGTGCGTGTCATGTGGGTGCATGTGCGTGTGTGTATGCGTGTGCGCACGTGTGCGTGTGTGTGCACCTGCAATCCCAGGAGGAGATCCTGCAAATACAACTGCCAAACGGAGCTCCTCGCAGGTGACGTCCCAGCACTGCTGGCCCGCGGGTGGGAGGACGCATCCTGAGATGGAGACACCCCTCGTCTGGTCCAGAATCAGACACAACAGCGACACGAGCTGCTGGGGGCGCGTTTCCTGCAGGGCAGAGTCAGACTCCGGCAGGCAGGGGCGCCTTGAATATTGAGATATAAATAGCTCCATCCTACCCATCAATTTATTCTCCCCAGAATGTTCTCAGAGATGCCAGCCTCGAATCTCTGGATCACGTCAGGAGCAAATGATAGCTGCCCTCTCTCGAGACGGCTCCTTCTCCATCTCAGTTTACTTTGCGACGCCGCGTATCACAGTCTCATCTGTGCTGCTCTCGGCCGCTTCCCCGCGGGCCGTGCGTCCTGCAAGTAGCTGAGAACAGCGTCTGTCGCTGTGCGGGCCCATCGAGGCAGGACTCTGGCTTTATTTCCCCGGGGCCTGACGTGTTGACCAGCACAGCTATGACGCATTTTGGGCTCGTGTTCCAAGCAGCTCAGGCGCCCCTTTGGTGGCGCAGCTTGAGGCCACCATAACCACTAGGCTTTGTTCTGGTAAACGAGCAGCCGGCAGGACGTAGCGCACCGGGGAGAACTTACTGTCCGGGTGAGGCCTGCTGCTAATCTGCCAACAGGAGTTTTCAGCCATGGGGTTTCACAGCCACCTCAGGTGGGTTGACCAGTTTGGGAGCAGCGGCCTGAGCTCCAGGACGTCCAGGGCTCCAGGAACGCGTGTGGGCCGTTCTCAGCCGGACGGCGGCGCCGTTCCCAGGCAGTGGTAGTGGACTTCGCTGCACTCGAAATTCAAAATCCATGTACTTCTCTGAGCTGCTGGGTATGTGGGGATGAGAATTTTGAATTTTTGGTTGAAATGTTGAGTTTTCATTTGACACACAGTTGGCATTGTGCGTCTGTAGTCTCAGAATACAATTTTTATTTTCCATGAGTGGTTTTTGGCTCTGTTTTGATAACATGGTCAGCACAGACAGTGAGGGACAGGCACATTCTCTTCGTTCCTTCCTGGGGCCGTTCATTTTGCAGATACCGAGAAATTCTGCGCGTACTCTCAAGCTGTCAACCTCATCCTGGTGGAGCAGCTCACAGTGCCACATGGTGGCCTCGGCCAAACCGAGCAGCAGAGTTAGGACGATTTAGACTCGTACAAAATTAGAGCTAGAAAAAGTTACCTATGGGGTACAGTGTGCTCTACTTGGGTGATAGGGACCCCAAAGCCCAGACTCCATCACTATACAATATGTATGTAATGGAATTCATAAATCTATTAAAATTTTAAAAAATTGAAAAACAACAACAAAATATCTTAAGGGGCTAGTGTCTATCTTTAGTGAGGTCAGTAAAACTTGATTGTGATTCTTTGAGTTTTCAAATGTTAAAATGATGTTCATTTTTAAAAGCAAACAAACAAACAAACAAGAATCTTAAAGATCACCTGCCTGGGTCCAGCCCTGAATCAAGCCGCACGGTCTGTCGCTAATGGCTCAGTTGTCTACTGACATGTAAGAACAGCACATTCTCTTGTGATACTTTGAATAGTTTGTATCCTGTTACCCTTCCTGGGAAACAGACTTGTCTAGAAGGGGGTAGAAGGACAGATAAACTCAATTCTCCATCACCTGAAAACTAGCACCTGTGACCGAGGGACCATGACCCGGTGCTGGCGCAGAGCAAGCATTTCAGAAACGCTTTTGAGGGGACAACTCAGGTGAGCTCTGGTGCCGAACTTACCCAGCTGGGTGTCCCAGCAGCGCCCTGCTGTCGATCACACCTGCCTGGGGCCAAGGCCCAGAGGCTGCCTCTCCGCCAGCGGGGTCGGCCCACAGGCACGGGCGACTATGCCGTGCTCCCAACACGTGCGCCAGGGGGTTGGGGGTGTCTGCCCGGGGAGTGACCTAGAAGACCTGAGTCCACCTGGAGTTTTTGGAGTGGTCATTTCAGGGGCAGCTGAGCCCAGAGACTGGGAGACCTTCATGTTACGAGCCTTTTCTGTTTATTAGGTAGTCACAAATATTCCATTCCCTGACGACCAGGCTTTAGAGAATCCAAACTGAACTCCCTCGAAGGAGATTCCAAACACACTTCCTCCTAGGGCCACCCCTGAAGGGAGAACCTGGGGGTGCGACTCTCACCCCTGTGCCCACTGAAAGGAAGAACGCGGGCCCGGCTGCTGGCTGTGGCTAGCCTGGGCCCCAAGCCACGGTGCTGTGCGCCGTAAGGAAGGCCGCTTCGTCCTGGCTAAGTCCTACTTTTGCTCAATACACAGCGCCTACGGTATGCATTCCAGAAAGCTCGCCTTGACCACCCCCTCCCGCGCCGAGACTGAAGCAGGCACCCTCCTCCGCATTCCTCCCCGTGCCAGCCCCTGCCAGCGCTGAGCTCACCGCGCCGTGTCCAGTTATCCGTCCCCTTCCCAAACTGTGAGTTCTCTGGAGACAGCGCGAGGTGCCTGCTGCCAGGCTGGTCCCGGCAGACGCTGGGTGGCGACCACGCAGCAGGAGTGAGTCACCCCCTGTGAAGCAAGGAGAGAGGTGCTGAGGCTTGAGGTCTAGGGGGTGCCGGGGGGTCTTACAGGTGCTGGAGGATGTCGCCCTTGGAGCTTCTCAAGCCCTTTCCGTAGAGACCCTTAATGAGCAGTTTGATGTCAGCTGAGTTTCCCGAAGGCAGGGGACGGGGGCTTTGTGGGGGTGCTAAACCCAGCGACCCACCGTGAAAAATCTGAAAGACAGAGACTACCATCACTTTGGTCTCCACTAGCCGTTCACATTTCGTCGTGTTCACAGAAAAGAGAAGCTTGTTTTATTTTTGCCTGTTGGCACGAGAGCCCGTGTCTGCCGCCTGGGCTGCCGAGAGAAAGGGAAGGTTTTTTCCGGGAAGCCCCAGTTTCCTTATTTTTCTCATGGAGCGCCTCTGGTTTCCAAACGTCCACATGGGCTCATCGGTCACGTCGGCCTGGTGTCCGTCTGTCTCCGCTGCTGATCCCAGCTTCCTTGGAGAGTCCAGAGCGGCCCCGGCAGGCGTAGTGTCCCAGGCCTGGGACAGGCAAATAAGAAAACAGATTGAAGAGAGGATAAAGGACACACCGATGTTCAGGAAATGACGGGTCCCGTACCGTTACCGCAGGAGCAGGGCATGGCCTTTCACTCCGACTGCAGAGACTCCAGGTACAGGTTGTCTCGAGGTGTCCCAATGACCTGGGAAACAGGATTCGGTATTAACACTGAACACGGTGAGCACCCCACAGAGCTTGGCGTCTCTTCTGCCTTGGTAGCTTCACATTGTTCCCGGGGCGCCATCGTTACTGCAGGACGTCAGGAGAGTGAGTGCAGTCACCTCCTGGGAGTAGGGGCTTCACCGGCTTCCCCTTTAATTACCAGAACGATTTAGCAGGTGCAAATGACCAGCCCCGAGTAAACTCAAGGAACGGAGGCTTGGCGAGGCTCTGTAAGTGGGTTCCAGGCTGAGAATCCGGAAGTCGTGCCCGTGTCCACGGGAGCACATTAAGCGCGTTGCGAGCGGTGCGAGAGTGCCGGGTTGCGGGGGAAGAACCAGGTCTCCTGTTGAGCCCTGATGCCGGCTCTCACAGGGGTGTCACCGTAGGGTGCATCCCTTGTACTTTTCTGCAGTTCGGTTCTCTCATCTGTACAAATGAGATAATAATTTTGCCTTCAATGATTTAACAAATGTGAAAGGTTTTGTAAACTCTGCCTGGCAAGTGGCAGGTGCTGGATACCTGTCGAGCGAGTGGCAGCAATCAGAGCACGTTTCTCACGCACTGTAGCGTCACTGTCACGTGGGCCGGTAAGGTGCAGAGAAACTCACGGACGACACCGTGAAAGCTTCTGATCGTCATTTCCTGATACAGTTGTGTTGAAATCCAGAGGTGCACTGGAGAATTATCAAATTGTTGCATGCTTAATTACCTTGCGATGACGTTTGCTTCAGGGAGCAGAAGGAACACAAAGAACTGCCGCTTAACAGGACACCTGTTCGGATTAATGTTAGGTTTTAGGGCTTGCTTAGATTCAGACTTTGGGGTTAGCATTTTATTGCACTGACTAATTGAGTTAGCATTTGCCAGCTTGACTTTTTTTTTTCTTCAGAAGGATCTAAGTTCATTAGGAAAGGGTTTCTTTTGTTTTTCTTGTAGGAGGAGGCAGGATAGGTTTCTATGTTCCTAGACCCACAACCAACACTCCCTTAGTTTCTCCAAATAACCAGGATTTCCTGGCAGAGAGTGGAGTGCCGAGATGACACCTGGACATACTCGCTGCAGCTTTTTATGAGTTTGATTTCACACAGCTTAGACACAGGCCACATGGCTGTGTTTTGAAGATGAGTTGGAGAAAATTCTGCACTGATGCGGGGAGGTAGGGTGTGAGGGAGAGAAGTCTATTTTACTCACCTCATTGGAATTGATCAAATTAGATAAGAAACAGATTGTTTTTCTCTTCTCCCCTAGTAATAAAAGAGTTCTGTTCAAGAAAGAGGAAAAAATCATCTGGTCTATAGAAGATTCCCTTTTTGAAAAGTTCAGAATTGCTCCAGTTTTAAAAATGGTTTTTGTTCTGAGAGCGCGGCATCTTTAGCAGTCAGGACCTGCAGCAGCGGGGCCAGGGCTGCCGGGCCCCAGGCTCCTGTCCCGGGCGGGGACTCTGGCCTGAGCAAAGGGGAGCTTTTTTATTTTTTTTTGAGACAGAATCTTGCTCTGCTGCCTGGGCTAGAGTGCTGTGGCGTCAGCGTAGCTCACGGCAACCTCGAACTCCTGGGCTCAAGCGATCCTCCTGCCTCAGCCTCCTGAATAGCTGGGACTACAGGCATGCGCCACCATGCCCGGCTAATTTTTTCTATATATATTTTTAGTTGTCCAGCTAATTTCTTTCTATTTTTCAGTAGAGACGGGGTCTCGCTCTTGCTCAGGCTGGTCTCGAACTCCTGACCTTGAGCGATCCACCCGCCTCGGCCTCCCAGAGTGCTGGGATCACAGGCGTGAGCCATCGCGCCTGGCCATAGGGGAGCTTTTGTGAGCAAAAGCTCGCCACCCTTTGTAAGGCCCGGGTCCTCCTCCCAGCATCTCACCTGACTTATCCTGACTGTACAAACATGCCTTTGCCATTCTAAGGAGTTCTGACCATTTCTTTTCTAATTTGTTGGCATCCATTCTGGCCTATGGTGGTTGAGGGCAAGGTTGTGCGTGGGGGCGAGCGTGTTGTTTGTTTTAAAGCCGTGAGTCATTTCAGGGTATTGGTACTCTTGGAGAATGACTCCCTCTTACTCAGCTTAACAGAGAGAAGTTTTACAAAGCACTAATAAAAGAATCTCCTTGACCAAAGATGAATGTAGCAAATCTTGTACATGGTGCAAAATTTGATAATACTATCAATTTACTTTTGTCTTTCCCTTTCGATTTCTACTCTCCTCTAGCTTGCTCATGTTCCTGCCTCCTCTTGCTGGCAAGAGCACACCACCAGTGCTCCTGCTCACTAATACCTGGGGCAGTTGCATTGTTTGCAATTTGACTGATTGATTGCATGTGTATAGTTCCTTTATTGCAAACCACTCTCCTAAAATCTAAGAAACAGAACTCCAGTGCCATGTATAAGAGTTTCACAGTCTACGGAGTATGCACACACCCATTTTAGCATTTGTTCTCACAGCAACAGAAACCACAGGGTGTTAGCCCTGGAGGAAACTTGGGAGCATCCTGCCCACTTGGTTTTGCGTTGCCGGGAGCAGATTTTATGTCTCCAAACATCGATGCTTCTTGGAAGGACAGCACGTTAATTTGTGTTTGGCCATTTTTTTACCTTATGTGAATGAGTTTATCAGTTCCTGTCCTGAGAGCAGATTTTTATGGGGGGAAGGTAGAGAAGGTGGGGGACATGCAAAGACCCTGAGGACACCACTTCACTTGCTGTTTCCCCGGCCCTTCTGCTAGCCGGCTCACTGCCTCTCCGGCGGCTTTGCTCATCCAGAGCAAAGAATTATTAATGGGCTCTCATCCAGCCTCACCCTCCTCTGTGACCCCTGCAGAAAAGAGCACTGAGTTTCTCAGCCAGAGTGGCACAGCTCCCAGGAGCGCAGCCGTGGCAAGGCTCCTGTCTCCCTGGCTACCAGACCATGGTTCCCGCTCCCCTAGAGCAGCCATCGTGCACAGGCTGTTCAGAGGGGGCAGTGAACAGAGTCACCTGTCACTGTGGCCAACAGGACCGAACACAGCTTCCAGGCAGGAAGGTCAGAGCTGGGATGCACACGCATGCGGGAAGCAGACAGGGCCCGCCGAGCACAGGTGTGCGCGCTGTGCCCTGCGCAAGGGGCCTGCCCCTGCGGCCTGGAAACCCCGGTGCCACTTGACTTGCCAAGCCACGCCTCCTGTTTTTTCTGATTTGCACAGATTCTTTGTTAACTTGCCAAGCTCTGGCTCTGCCGCACCCCACCCACCAGAGAGGGTGCCTTTTGCAAATCTGTAAAAATCAACTTTGTGTGCTGGGGTGGGCCTGCCAGGGCTGGGGTCCTGGGGGCTTGGGGACCACAGACCTTACGGCCAGTGCACCACTTCTCATTCGGTGATTCAGGGGTTCCAGCCCAGCGAGAGTCAGCCCCCTCGGGGCCTGCCTTCCTCCCTTCCTTCCCTCCCTCCCTCCCTTCCTCCTCTTACTTGCCTGCTTTTTTAGTTCTTTGATGATTCTGGGAAACTATTAAGTATAGCAAAAGGAGGAGAACACAGAGAATGACAAGCCTGTCTCTATAAAGTGGGCCTCTGAAGGCTTCTCGCACGTCCGCCTCCAGTCTCCTCCCTCACCCCGGCCTCCCCGAGCGCCCGTGGGTCTGGCTGTGGCAGGGCCTGGTCTGCTCCTGCGGCCCCGCCGGCCCGGGTCTGAGCGCACAGCTCTGGTGTTCACTTTGCTCTCTGCCGTCACTGCCCCCGACCCCCACACCCGCCTCTTGGAAGGCAAAAAAAACGACACATTTTCCCTCTCCGTTGTCTTCAGTCTGCACTGGTTTTCTGCCGGCCGGATGACTAATTTCTTTGTCATCTCCGACCCCTCTCGGCCTGTCCAGCTGCTTGGATGGCCTCTGCATGGTGCAGACGGAGCTTTCACGCTCACACTGGATCAGCCCAAGGCCCATGGAGGCCCAAGAGGCCAAGGACAAGTCTCTAACTCTCCCCAGAGCAGAAGACAAAAACAGGGTCGTGCCCCCTTGTGCAGATTGTTCAGCTGCCGAAGGGCTGCTCTGGGCAGCTGCGGGGTCTGCGCACAGCCTAAGGCCATTCCTCCCCCGTCCGGGCCGGGACCTGCTCTCGAGGACAGGCAGGACCATGCGAGTACCTCGCTTTTCACTGTGCAGCCTTCCAGCACCTAGAGCTGCCCTCCATTTAGGAGGGCCTTGGAACCAGGTAGTAACTCGGCAGGCGTCCAGAACAGAAGCTGCATCGACCCCAGGCCCAGGCACGTGAGCGAGTTGCAGGGCCGGGTGGTTTGGCGCAAGACGAAGGGGAGTGAAGCTCCTCGTCTGCGGTGGTGCCTTCACGTGCTCACGCTGTTGCGAGCGTGGAAATCCCGGAAGCCCTGCCCCGGGAGGCCCCAGGACCCCGAGGACGGGGGAGGGCTGGGACCGAAAGTTGTGGCTGCAGGGCGATGAGGCGGGGGCCCGGCCCTCATGCTTGTGACGGGACCCGGGGGCCTGCCAGGCCCCAGAACAACACCCGACCCGCTGACCTACTTCAAGCTGCCGAGGGCAAGATGGCCGGGAAAGGCAGCTGGGAACCGGGACGTCCGGGTCCAGGAGGACGTGAGTCTAAGACCAAAACCCAGATGCCCGTGTCCCTCCGTGGTGCAGATCCGCGCTGTGCTGGACCCCGCGGCGGGCTATAAAGAAGACAAGCGCCAGGAGGGCGGTGGGGGGGCGGGGGCTGGGGTGGAGGGAGCCTCTCCTTGCTGGACAAGGACCCTCAGGCCAGCCGTGTCCCCAGCGGAGGAGCACGCGGTCGAGGCAGGCTGGCTCTGTGATGCCCTGGCGATGAGACACGCAAAACACGGTCTGTCCAGACGGGAGTGTCACTCGGCCTCCCAAAGGAAGGGCGTTCTGACTGAGCCCGGCACGGGGGGGTGAAATGAGCCGGTGGCAGAAGGACACGCACGGTGCGAGCCCCCCTCCGCGGGGTGTGTAGCGTAGTCACACTCCAGTGACGGAAAGTGGAGGGCAGGTGCCAGGGGCTGAGCAGGCGGAGCGAGGAGTCAGCGTCTCACTGGGACAGTTTCAGCCGGAAGAAGAAAACGTCCCGGGACAAAAGGTGGTGACGGCGGCACAACAACGTGAAGGGACTTAATGCCACAGAAGGGCACACTTAACAGTGGTTTAAGGGTAAATGTTATGCTGTGTACACTTTACCGCAGGAAAAATATTGAATATACATATACGCACACGCTCTTAAAAAATCCTCCTCTAGACGCCTGCCCCGGCATTTCTCCCTGTGGCAGCCGGTGCTGGCGGGACCCGCTGTGACGGAGCCGCGGACCCTTGATCTTTGCTGTACTCTGACCACTCGCGTCACACGATTAAGCTCTTTTTTCTCTTCTTCCAGGATTTAGGGGGCACTCTGAAGAAACGAAGACTGAAATGAAGACGGAGCTCCTGTGCGTGCTGCTGCTTTGCGGAGCGGTCTTCCCTTCGCCCGGCCAGGTGGGTGTCCGGCGTGCCCTGCGAGCCCCTCGAGGCTTCCAGACGCTCCTCGCACAGCCAGAGTCTGTGTCCAGCCAAACCCCCGTGGTGGGGATGGCGTCCCAGAGCGGAGGGCGCGGGGACAAGGGTTGGCGTAGCTGCAGAGCGCACGCGTGCACACGCCTCTCTGCACAGGAGACTCGGGTCCGGGGCCCAGCGCGGAGCCCTGGGCGCTTGGTCGGACTCGAGAAAACAGTTCTCAGTGCCCCTCCGCTGCCCGCGTCTGCCTTCTCTGGAGCTGTTTTCAATCCATAGAGTGCAGTCGCTCCTCACATTTGTGGGGCTTGGTCCCAGGAACCCTCAGATGTCAAAATCCAAGGCTTGCCAGGCACAGAGGCTCACGCCTCTAATCCCAGCACTCTTGGAGGCCAAGCCGGGAGGATCTCTTGAGGCCAGAAGTTCAAGACCAGCCTGGGCAATGTAGCAGGACCCCATATCTACAAAATAATTAAAAAATTAGCTGGGTGTCGTGGCATGTACCTGAGTAGTAGTCCCAACTAAGGAGGCTGAGGCGGGAGGATGGCTTGAGCCCAGGAGTTGGAGGTTGCAGTGAGCTAGGATGATGCCACTGCACTCCAGCCTGGGTGACAGAGTGAGACCTTGTCTCTTAAAAAAAAAATTCGCAGCTGTTCAAGTCCGTGATATAAAATGGCGTATTTGGCTATAACATATGCACATCCTCCCATACGCTTTAAATCATGTCTAGATCACTTATAACATCTCATATAAAGTAAATGCTATGTAAATAGTTGTTATAATGTGTTTTTAAATTTGTATTGTTTTTTATTGTTGCGTTATTATTTATTGTTTTTTCCCGAATATTTCCCTCCACTGGGTGACCGCGGGCTGGCTGTACCTATACAAGGCAGCGCAGGCGCCGGGAGCCACAGGGGCAGGCGAGCTGCCCCCACGCTCCTGTCGCAGATGAGCTAGAGCTGGGCTGGACACCGCGACTCTCTGAGGTGCCTGGCGGTAAAGGCCCTCCACCAAGGCCAAACGAGCCGTCCCTCTGCAGTGGGACTTCAGAGAAGGGACAGCCTGGATGGAGGAGAGACACACTCCACTGCCCAGCGTGGCGGCCACTAGCTACATGGAGCTCTTTCAACATAAAATTAATTAAATGAAATAAAATTAAAAATTCGGTTTTCCAGTCACACTAGCCACATTCGAGGGCTCAGTGGCCACGTGTGACCTGTGCCGTGTTGGACGGTGCAGATAGAAAACATTTCTGTCGTGCAGAAAGTTCTGGACAGCACCAGTCCAGAAGTCAAGGAAGAACTAGACCAGGAGGCAGGAAGTGGAGTCCCCCTGGGGCTGGTTCCCGAGGCGTCTCTGGGCGGGGGCCCCGACGGGCAGGTTCACGGGTGGGCTTCCGGCCCGGCCACCTTCACCCGGGGACGCCCGGCGTGTGCTGACCTGCCCCCACGCCTGGCTCGTTTGCAGGATGTCCGTGCCCGGTTCAGAAGAGGAGCCAGGTCTTCCCAAGGTGAGACGAAGCGGAGGACGCGGGTCCGCGGCGGGCGGGGTGGGGGGGTCTCCGGGTGCCGCGGGGTCGGGGGCTCGGCGCTCATCCTCTGCCAGGGCCCCCTCTGTGAGGGTGAAGCCCTCAGGGCAGCTCTGGAGAGACGCCTGCCCGTTCACCGTTCACCAGGCAGCCGCGGCTAGACAGACCCTGAGAGCAGCAGGAGCCCATGTCCTCTCAAGGGACAGGCTGTCAGGGGTCACAAAGCTGGGGGAGCCTGCCAGCTCAGTGGCCCGAAGTCCTGGTTATACAGGTGACGGAGCCAGGGAGAGAGAGCGACCTGCCGAGGGCCACACGGGGGCCAGCAGGACAGCACTGGCCACGGCCGTCCGGTCCCGGGGTCTCGTCCTGGGTGTGACCCGCCACAACCCACTCGTTGCCTCTGCTGACACACACCCCGTCTGCACCTCCTTCTGCTGGCCGAGGAGGGACAACTAAGCAGGGCCACCCCACAGACGGGTGCGGGCGGTGAGCCACCTCTGGTGTGGACTCGAGGAAGCCGGGACCATGCCCATCGGATTCCGACAGAACAAGAATGCCGGCAGCAGCTGCCTTGAGTCCGGCGTGAAGAACTCTAGGCCCAGCTTCAGGCCCCAAACCCCCCACCTGGAGCCCTCCCGTCCTCCCTCGTGACCTGGTTCCTTTGGGTCTGGAAGACTTTCCAACCCCCTTTCAGAGTGGAAGTTTCCCCAGCGAGTCGCGTCTCAAGCTTGGCGCCTGGTTTGCTGGAGGGTGCGGTGTTCCCTGCAAGGGCCTCCCGTCCTCAACAGGCCTTCAGAAGCAGCAGGGATGTTATTCACAGTGCGCATATACTTCTTTAAGCAGTTAAAGTAAAAACTTGTTTTTATTGAGGTGGCATTCTGGTTGGAAAGCAGAGAAGAATGGCAAGAGAGTATTAAGCAGGCACTTCAACTTTCCATGATACCAGAAACGCGGGTGAAAGTGGCACATTTCTGCAAAGACTGAAGTGCCGGTTTTCTTTGTTTGGCCCAGATGCCCCATCTCCGTGTTGTCATGCTCCTGTGGACCGAAACTCTCATGGGCGGTTATAAACATGTGGATATTTTTGATGAGTTAAAGTGAAAAATTAGAGAACCACTTAATAAATGTATTTTGATAGATAAATTTTTTCAAAAACAAGGGCCCATCAGAGGAAAAATAATAAAAGGTGACAAAATATTTGGTGACAAAATATTTAGTATTTGTTGACTTCTAGTTGCATTTTTTCAAGAGAGGGACGCACAATGGAGTGTATGGAAAGCGAGTGGGGAGTCTTCTCGGTAGGTCGGGGGGCAGCCATCGGGCGGGTTTTCTCGAGCTGTGTTCTAAAGAGGTCGGCCTGCCTTTCGTTCAGCAACCTGCAGAGACGAGAAGACACAGATGACGTACCAGCAGCGGGAGTCGTGGCTGCGGCCTGTGCTCAGAAGCAGCCGGGTGGAGTACTGCAGGTGCAGCGGCAGCAGGGCGCAGTGCCACTCGGTGCCCGTCAAGAGTACGTATGGACGCTAAGCTGGGTGCCCCTCCCGGGGCCCAGCACACTCCAGTCTTCACAGGGACATTCCAGGCACCTTCTGCCACAGGCAAAGCTGAAGGTGCAGAGCCAAAGAGGAGACTAAGTGACCGTAGGCAAAAGCCTCCACTCACTGGGCCTCAGTGTCCTCATCCGTAAAATGGGGAGAACAATGGTACATACTCCATGGTTTGCTAAGAGGAGTAAATGAGTTAATTTTTGTAAACTGTGTAAATAGTGCCTGGCAGGTAGAGAGCACTCTTAATTTTTAAGTCATGGCCGGGCATGGTGGCTCACGCCTGTAATCCTAGCACTCTGGGAGGCCGAGGCTGGAGGATCTCTTGAGGTCAGGAGTTTGAGATCAGCCTGAGCAAGAGCAAGACCCTCTCTCTACTGAAAATAGAAATATCAGCCAGGCATGGTGGCCTGTAGTCCCAGCTACTCAGGAGGCCGAGGCTGGAGGATCGCTTCAGCCAGGAGTTTGAGGTTTACAGTGAACTATGATGACAACACTACACTCCAGTTGGGACAACAGAGTGAGCCTTTGTCTCGGAAAAATTTTTTTAACTCACATTATTCTTGGCGCTGCTTTGAAAGTCCAATTGACCTTTGAACCACACGTTTTCTGAACGGTACAGTCCACTTCTGTGGATTTTTCCAACCAAAGGTGGATGGAAGTGCAGCATCGATGGGGCGCGAAGCCCACATCCGCGGGTTCTGCGGGCCGACCGTGGGCCTGGAGCGCGGACGTTGGTGTGTGAGTCCTGGGACCAGTCCCCTAGCGTACCGAGGGACAACTGTCATTCGAGGTTTCCTTGTCTGTGCCTGACAGGCTGCAGCGAGCCCAAGTGCTTCAGCGGGGGCACGTGTCTGCAGGCTCTGTACTTCTCGGATTTTGTCTGCCAGTGCCCCGAAGGATTCGCTGGGAAACGCTGTGAAGTCGGTGAGTGGGCGGGGGTGAGAGGGGGACTGAAATCCCGGCCCCCAGATCCGCCCAGGAAGGAGAGGAGGTGTGATGGGGGCCAGGGCGGGTCAGGGACGTCGGTTAGGAGCCACCGCCAGGCCCGGGGCAGAGCCCCGCTGCGACTCTGGAGTGCGGCTGGCGCCCCTCGTGCCCGGGCTGCTCTGGACCCTGCAGCTCCGCGGCCAGCCTGCCTCGCCGCTGGGGGCGACAGGGACACGTGGGAGCCTTTTCAAAGGCCGTGTCCTGCTCCCCCCAGACGCCAGGGCCACGTGCTACAAGGACCAGGGTGCCACCTACAGGGGCACGTGGAGCACGGCAGAAAGCGGAGCGGAGTGTGTCAACTGGAACAGCAGCGCGCTGGCCCGGAAGCCCTACAACGGGCGGAGGCCGGACGCCATCAGGCTGGGCCTCGGGAACCACAACTACTGCAGGTGAGGGGGGCCAGAGCCGCCCCCGCTGGGGAGGCACCTGTACCAGGCCAGTCAGGGCTCTCGAGAGAGACAGAGCCAGGGCCACGCAGGCGTCTGTGGACAGAGACGCACATAAGCTGATGTTGAGGAATCGGCTCATGTGGCTTGGGGACCGGCAGGCCTGGAAGCTGTGGCGGCAGCAGGCCGCAGACCTGGGCAGGGGGAGGCCGCGTCCTCCAGGCAGAGCGTCTTCCCGGTGTTTGCTTTTAAGGCCGCCCCCGATTGGACAAGGCCCACCCTTGTCCAGGATACGCTCCTTTCCTCGCAGCCGCTGGCCGCCGTGCGAAGCGCATCTACAGAGCGCCTTCGCCACACTGGGGCGGATGCTGGACCATAACCGGCACTGCGGCCACGCGAGGTGACACGGGAGGCCGTCGCGGTCCTCGCCAAACCGGCACCCGCACACGTCTCCTCACGCCACCCTCAGTCTCCACGCACAGACGGCGCGTCACGCTCCTGCCCGACACGACACAGCCGCCCAGTGCGCAGCCCCAGACGCGCTGGCCCTTTCCCTAGAGGAGTCCACAGGGAGGCTTCGCTCTGACCTCCCCGCCCCCTCCCTGGCTGATCTTTCAGAAACCCGGACCAGGACTCGAAGCCCTGGTGCTATGTCTTCAAGGCAGGGAAGTACAGCTCGGAGTTCTGCAGCACACCCGCCTGCTCCCAGCGTAAGTGGCAGCCCCCCACCCCACCTTCCCTCAGTGCCCTTGGGGGAGAGGGTCTGGCAGGACAAGGCTGTCCTGCAGCTGAGGAGAGAGACGGGCCGGCAGGAGTTAGTCCTTTTGACCGCAGAGGGAAGAAAGGAGACTTAGGTCTGCGCCCCACTTCCCCTCTAACTGGCTGTTTGACCTTCACCTCTCTGACCCTCAGTCTCTTCATCTTACAGAGGAGAGGATGGGGCTGAATCAGTGGTTTCCAGCCCTTCTGAGAATGGATGGAGATTTTCACTTTTTTGATGAATCGGCTCTTCTCTCTCTCTCCCTCTTGAGTTTTTTTTTTTTTTTTGGGACAGACTCTCACTCTGTTGCCCGGGCTAGAGTGCCATGGCGTCAGCCTAGCTCACAGCAACCTCACACTCCTGGGCTCAAACTCCTGCCTCAGCCTCCAGAATCGCTGGGACTACAGGTGCACACTACTACCACCGGCTAATTTTCCATTTTTAGTAGAGACGGGGTCTTGCTCTTGCTCAGGCTGGTCTTAAACTCCTGACCTCAAGCAAACTTCCTGCCCCCGCCTCCCAGAATGCTAGGATTAGAGGCGTGAGCCACCGCGCCCGACCCCTTCTCAAGCCTTTTAATGTGAAAAATCTTCCCAGATTGAAAAAAACACTAAGTTACAAAAAGCTACTATGAATTCAGTGGTGCTTTTACAAATGATCATGCTATTTATCACAACAGTATGAAAGATATTTTTTAAAGTTCTAAATAGATGCACACAGAAGTCACATGCATTCAGCATCGGGTCTCCCAGCTACGCTGGTGCACCTGCGAACTCAAAGACTCTGCAGCGTCTCGAGAGCGTCTGCCCTGTCGGCCAGGAGCCGGGCTAGGTTAGGACCCGCTGTGCAGATTCCCTTAAAGATCCCTTCCCGTTAGAGGCCTCCTACACAGGGGTCAGTTTCACATGGGGAGAAAAGAAACAGGGCGAATAAATGAAAACAGGCAGCGTTCTAAGGCTTCTACTACCTCTTCCTCCCCAAGCCCAGCAAACCCTTCAGCACCGTGGCACCCCAAACCTGAGAGGTTAGGGCCCCCGACACGCCTGCCCCCAGTGCAGCACCTCGGCTCGCTGCAACCTGGCAGAATAAACAAGGCAGTTGCTAATAACTTTCAAAGCAGCTCCAGAAACAGCCTCCATGGACGGCACGGGGCACCCTCCTGCTAGCCCTGAGTGTGCTCGCGGCCATCTCCGCACGGCCACCTAGGCCACAGCCAGTGGTGGAGGTCAGAACCGGAGGTGAACGCGTGTGCCGTGTCCGTGTAAAAGGGCTTGAGGAAGGGGCGGGGGGGGCGGGAGGTGCCACCCTCCTGCGGGTGCCAGGCTGGCCTCCGCCGGCTCCCCCGGCCCCCGCCTCCGCCCGACTTGCCGCTGCCGCATTTGACGGGGTTTGTCTCAGCTTGAGGTTGCTTTTCCTCCAGGAGGAAATGGGGACTGCTACTTCGGAAAAGGGTTAGCGTACCGTGGCAGCCACAGCCTCACCACGTCTGGGGCCTCCTGCCTCCCGTGGAATTCCGTGAGCCTGGTGGGCAAGGTCTACACGGCGTGGAAGAGGAGCGCCCAGGCCCTGGGCCTGGGCCAACATAACCACTGCCGGTACGCGCACGGGGTCCGAGGGCAGGAAGGGCTGTCGGGTGGGAGGAGGTTTGATGCCTGCAGTCCCGACAGACCCAGGGGTGGGAGGGAACCACGGATGCTTCTAGCCCGACCCACTCGTTTGCTAGAATCACAGCCATCGTGAAAAGCAGGCGCGCAGCGTTCCGACCAAAATCCCAAGTTAGGGACTCCCTGTCCTGCAACCACTCGGCCCTCGTCTGCTCTGCTCGCACGGGACACCTCTACTCCAAGGAACTGCAGGTTTCTTCACGGACAGCGCCGTTCCTCCCCGCAGCCCTGTGAGATCAGAGCGCTGCGGACGGACAGGAAAGCGGAGAAGTCACTCTCCCCAGGCGCGCCTGCCAGAGCCGGGCTGAACCCCGCGCCTCCCCCGAGAGCAGTGTTTTTGCCACTGGTTTGCGGAGCCTCCTTCCCGCTCACGCAGCCTGCGGAGCGACTGGACTGTGATGGAAACCTTGCTCCTTCGCCCTTTAGGAACCCAGATGGGGACGTCAAGCCCTGGTGCCACGTGATGAAGGACGGCAAGCTGACGTGGGAATACTGCGACATGCCCCAGTGCTGTAAGGGCTGGTCCTGCCCCCCTTGGCTGGGGTCCCTTCTTAGCCGCCTCCTCACCCGTTTGTGCGTCTTCGCCGCTGTCTGCGCCGACGGTGGTAACTGCCGGGCTTCCACGACGCAAGCAGTGGTGGCGGTGACACTGGCACGCAGCTGTCCGCCCCTGGGTGGGGCGTGGGGTGCTGGGAGGGGAAAAGAACCGATGCACCAGCTTCTCTTAGAATTCGGCCGGCTCTGAACCTTTCTAGACGCCCCTGTTCATGGCGGTGGTCCCTGCGACGTCTCACGCGTGGCTCCTTAGATAACTGGTAACGTGGTGCGGGGCTTGTTCCCGTCTGTGGTCATGGATCAGAGAGCAATCTCTCAGCACTGCGCGGCCGGCCCCTCGCCGGGCCTGCTCCCTGTCCTCTGACTCTAGGCTTGTCCTTCTCCCGTGGACTGCGCCACGCTTCCCACTGCGCCCACTTGACACAGGGGGACTGGGTTAACGACAGGTGCTGAGAGACAGAACATTCAAGTTGGTGCACGTTGGTAAAAAATGAAATTTTAGTTTGAAAGCTGTCACTCGGTTCCTGTGAACACATAGGTCAGCCAGAATGTTCCTCAAGGAACACAGAGCCTTCCTGGGAAAGGTGAGAGAAAAACCACCAGCTAAGGCACAGGCAAGCTCGCTGGCTCAGAGTGGCGGGGGGTGATGAGGACAGCTCTGGGCGACGCAGGCTGCGGGGGCGCAGAGCAATGGGCAGACATCTCGGGAGGAAGCTGTAAGGCTTCCTTATTTCTTAAGCCAGGAAATGGCTGTAGGGAAAAATCAGAAGGAGAGAAGCATTGCAGAAAGACCCCTGATTGGGAGTCAAACAGACCGGGGTTCTAATCCAGGTGTCATGGTAACCGTGGGCACAGTTCCTCAGCCTCCCTGAAATTCGGTGTTGTGAGAGTTAAAGGTAACGTGTCTACAATATTCGGGGTGTCATCCCCAACAAATGAAGTTGTGGTTTCGTCCTGTCGCCCTGCACCTACGCGAGTGCAGTGAGCCCGCAGAAACCTGGGTTGCGAGAGGAGAAACAAGGCGAGTGCTCGAGGGCCGCGCCCAGGGCCACAGGTCTCATCCGCCTTGTCTGTGCCTCCCTCGCCAGCCACCTGCGGCCTGCGGGAGCACAAGCAGCCCCAGTTTCGCATCAAGGGAGGACTCTTCGCAGACATCACCTCGCACCCTTGGCAGGCCGCCATCTTTGTCCGGAACAGGAGGTCTCCGGGGGACAGGTTCCTGTGCGGGGGGGTCTTGATCGACTCCTGCTGGGTCCTGTCTGCGGCCCACTGCTTCCAGGAGAGGTAGGGGCGTGGGAAACCAGCAGGCTGTCTGCTCTCTGAGGCCTAGAAACAGGCCCACCAGAGACCATGGCGGGCGCGCGTTCTAAGGCTGCTTCTCCCTCAGGTTTCCTCCCCACCACCTCACGGTGATCCTGGGCAGAACGTACCGCCTGGTCCCTGGAGGGGAGGAGCAGAAATTTGAAGTAGAAAAATACATCGTCCACAAGGAATTTGATGATGACACTTACGACAATGACATCGGTAAGAGGCCGTTGCTCTGTGCTCCAGTTCACACGTGCACTCACACAGCTGTGTTGACACCCACGAGACCCCTCCTTCCAGACGCTTGCCCCCTCCTCTCAAGCTGGAAGCCGCTCTTCACCCCGGGCGTGTCCTCTTCCTCACTCTCCCAGCCCTGCTGCAGCTGAAATCAGACTCGCCGCGCTGTGCCCAGGAGAGCAGCTCCGTCCGCACCGCGTGTCTCCCAGCAGCCGACCTGCAGCTGCCCGACTGGACGGAGTGCGAGCTGTCCGGCTACGGCAAGCACGAGGCGTGTAAGTGGAAGGAAATCTCGGCCCGGCCTGTCTGTCTGCGGACGGCAGGGGATGCAGTGGTGGACCAGACAGAGGCAAAACTGGTCACGAGAGCCGGGTGCTAGCCCCAGGCCCGGCACCAATGAGCTCCCGCCTCCCTAAATAGCGAGGACCATCTCTGCCTTCCCTGCCTCGCAGGCCACTGTGTGCAGGGTGGGAGTGTCCGAACGGTCCAAGTGCTTCAAAGGCCTTAGGGACTCGAGAAGGTTCTGTGTTAAGAAGTGGAGTGCAGAGGCTGAGGGTGTGGGTTCTGGGGTGCTGGAAGGGTGTGGACCTGACGGCAAATCCTGCTTGCTTAGCTGTGTGACCCTGGACGTGGGGTTTTACTTTGAACTGCTCCAAGCCTCGGTGTCCTCGTGGTAAAGTAGAGATAGAACCTAATTAGAGAATGAGGATTAAATGAGATAATATTAGATTAAACTAGGGGTTGTTAACTGGGGTGATGTTCCCCCCAGGAAACATTTGGCAAGTCTGGAGACATTTTTGGTTGTTACAACTCAGGGCGGAGGTGGGAATGAGCACTCAGGGATGCCGCCAAATGCCCGCAGCGCACGGGACCGTCCCCCACTGTAAGGAGCCATCTGGTCCAAAATGCCAACAGGGCTGCTTCTGAGACTCTGGGTCAAGGCCTATAGAACTGCTGGTTTTATGGGTCAAAATGGTAAAATATTGGCAATGTCACAGGACTCAACCTAATAACACATGTAAAATCTTGATAAATGTCAGCTAGCGGAAAACTTGCCTTTCTCCTTCCAAAAGGTTTACAGCTTCCCCTAAAACCGTAAGACGTCCCCCCTCTCTTTCAGCTTCTCTTTCCTATTCGGAGCGGCTGAAGGAGGCTCATGTCAGGCTGTACCCGTCCAGCCGCTGCACGTCGCAGCATTTGTTCAACAGAACCGTCACCAGCAACATGCTGTGTGCGGGAGACACTCGGAGCGGAGGGAACCAAGACAACCTGCATGACGCCTGCCAGGTAAGCACAAGGGCTCTGCAGACTCTGGGCACACCCGGGACACGGATGCCCCTTGGCCAGCAGGCTCTTGGCCAAGGGAACCAGTGCAGCCAGCGTGGAGCAACTTCATCTCAGCGAGGCCCTGGGGGTCCCAGATGGGGCCTCAGAGAGCAAAGCAGTTGGAGAATGATCAAAGTCACCTAAACTGCAGGAAATTTCCCCAACGTCTGCACAGGAAACTCCGCCCGGTACAGGATTTCCTCTAAGTGCAGGCAATTATTGACTAGTGAAGTGACGGATAAAGCAACACAATTAAGAAATTCTCGACTTCTGTCGGTGCCAGAGCACTGGAGTCCGCTACATAGCAGGAGGAGGAAAGGCACCGTACTGGGAAGGAGGATATGTCAACAGGTGGTTTGTGAGAAATAAGTTTTAGAAGCTCACATTCAGCCCTAATGTCCTTGGAAAGGAAACTATTTTAGGTTCTCTGTGTTGGCATCCTTATCAGGGTTAGTACTTATATTTCGTGATTAACGAGATACTGGGGTCTGGGGGACAGACCGACCTGCTGGTATTGAGACCTAAATATAGCCAAGGAATTGTGGCTCCTACAGTTAGGGCCAGGCTCTGATGCGGGGCTGGGTTGGAGAGAGTACGGGGAATGGATTCCAGGCTGTGCCGCTGCAGACTGTGCGGGCTTTGTTCTTAATCACATCAGTGATTTTTCCCCCTCGCTTTCTTGACAGTATTTGGTTTCTTTTTGAGTGGTCTCTTCAGAAACCTCAACTGTACCACTTAGCTCACAGTCAAAAACAGGTTGTATCCAAGTGAAACCGTGTCTATCTGCATGCTTGAAGTCAAAAACAAAAACAAAAAGTCGTTTTGATCCAATATGGCAACAGCTAACAATTACCAAGTTTACTGGGTGGCGTACAGTGTTGTCGGCGCTTCCCGTGCATCCATCCGATCAGTTCCCGCAGCAACCCCGGGAGAGAGGCAGGCGGTATCGTCTCCGTCTCACAGATGAGGAGAGCCCCGCACAGTTAGCGGAGGCCACACAGTTAGTAAACGGTGGGTTCAAAGTAGGGTTTTTTGAGGCCTGAAATGTCTGGGCAATTATCTCAATTCTACTTTCCCAGAGTAGAAACAACCTAATCCTCTAGAGGATCAAGATAATTGAGATATGATTTCCCCTTTCTGAACTGAATACAGTAAGTCTGCACTTAACATCGTATCTGGGAAAAATAAGTTCTTAGAAACTGCGACATTAAGAGAAACAAATATAACGGAACCAATTTTACTGTTGGCTAATTGATACAAACAAGAGTTAAGTTCCCAGGGCGAGTTTCTGGTCACAACACATCACCAAACTTCTAAAGACCCCAAACACTTAATATTAAACATTGAGATAAAATGTATGCATACGTTTAAGAACGGTGAACACAAGCAAGGTAAGCATTTGCCAGTTACTCCAGTTCTGGGTCTCAGGAGGCTGGGGCCTGTCCCGGCAGCTCGGGGCGCCAGGCGGGCACCAGCCCTGGACAGGCCGCACCCCTGCGCAGAGCGCTTAACGCACCCCGCCACGCACTTGGACCAGGACAGTGTGGACACACCACTCACCTCGCGTGCACAGGTCTGGGGTGGGGGGGAGACTCACGCAGACACACTCCACAGCCAGTGGCCTCGGTGAGGGATCAGTTTTCTTTTTCATCATTATAGCAAGACAACGACATTAATATTTATCAAGGACCTGCTGTACTTTGAAGAATACAATGTTCACACTACAAACACTAACCCTCACTTACCCCCCAAATAGTCTGCCTTTTTGCAAACAACTCACCCGTTCCGTCCTTTGCAGGGTGACTCTGGGGGTCCCTTGGTGTGTTTGAAGGACAACCGCATGACGCTGGTGGGCATCATCAGCTGGGGCCTTGGCTGTGGGCAGAAGGACGTCCCGGGGGTATACACCAAGGTCACGAGCTACCTAGACTGGATCCGAGACAACATGCGACCATGACCAAGAACACCAGCTCCCTGAAATCACACGAGGTCCTGCCTTCTTCCTCCTGAGAAGACGCTGCAGAGAAGGTGTGCTTCTCCACACGGACTTCTCCACAAATCACCCCGCAGTGCAAGGGGGAGGGAACCCGTAGAAGGAGAGGGGAGAGTGTATGTTTTCACAGGTGCTTCCCGTTTTGGAAGTTTTCAGGGGTTAAGGTCTGATTTCAGAATGTGTTCTGTCAGATGGGAAGACAGATACGTAAATGCCAACCCCGCCAGGAATGCCACCATCTAGAGCAGAAAATGGGTGAGCCAACCTGTGTTCAGCCAAAAGCCCAACCTCTTGATCTGTCGCCGTGAGCAGCTTTGGAAATGGGACCCCAAAAATAGAAGCATGTTTCAGTAGTAAAAAACCAATAATAACAATAACTAGATCCTTCAGGAAAGACTTGCGTTAGAAACAGATGTGTATTTATAGTCACAAGAGCCCGGCAGGACCTCCAGAGGAAGTGGGCTGGCCAAGCAGGTCCTCGCTCTCAAAACCACCCTTCAAACCAAGTCTCCTTCCCCCTCTCCCCACAGCCCCCGGAAGCTCTTCCCTGTGTACAGTGTAAATCTTTGTCCTCGCAAGCTTTACAGTAGAATGGAGAATTGTACCATTTTAATAACTAGGCCTTAGCATATTTATAGCAATCCATTTTAGTTTTTACTCACCATAACCCTGTATTATACTGTACTTAAACAATAAATCCAGATATATTTTTCACAAATTAGAGTGGTTTTGTTGCACACGTGGTATCCCACTGTTTGTTGATTCATGTCGTTCACGTTTGGAATCATTTGGAGTATTTGCTTTGTTCACTCGACACGTGGAATACTTGCTGCACACAAAGCACCGGGACTCCAAAAAGTGGCGGGGGGCGGGAAGGAAGATAAGAGACAAGGTAGAGTGGAGATGCCACACAACGGATGGCAGGAACTTTCGGTGGAATCGGTGGCAGGGGGTGGGGACCTGGGGGAAAGGGCTGAATCGGGGAGGTGGCGCAGACAGCGGAGGTGTGGGCCGCGGACGGTGCAGAAAGGCAGTGCTGACACCGTGTCCCTGCACAGAAGCACAGAGATCCGGGGGCGCAAGACAGAGCGAGCAGAGGACGGGGCAGCGGCGCCGGTCTGCAGCGAGCCCCGGGTAGGCCGCGGGCTTTGGAGCCACGCCGCGCTGGCTCTGGATTCCGCAGCAGCAGCGGCGCTGAGAGCCTTGCTGAGGGAAGGGCGGAACTGACCCGGCCTAGGAAAACCGCCCAAGCGGGCCGAGGCTCCGCAGACAACCGCCACGCAGGGGAGAGGAAAGACAGGGGAGGAGGAGGAAGGACCTAGCACGACCGCGCTCGCACGGCCAAGTCCCCAGTGGCAGTTCACACCAGAAGCTAGCGCTGGGGCCACCTGTTTCCCATCGTGGCACTTGGCCGCGCATCGGCAGAATTAAGCCGCAGACCAGCGCACACGAGTGCGCCACCTAACTAATGTCAGCAGCTCTCTGCGTCTGCAGCACTTTCACACTCCTGCCTGAGAGCTTTGGCTAGCGCCGACACCCTAGTTCCAAGGAGCCATCTGGTGGCGCAGTGCCGCTCTTGGGTATGTGCGGACAGTTCCCAGAGAGGAGAAAGGTGGTCGTAGTCGTCTCTGTTTCTTGAGGGGTTGTCAGAACTGCTCAGTTCAGAGTTTCTTGGAAGAAAAGTAGTTTAAACTCACCACGTAAAGAGATTCTCTAAAGCCCAAGAGCTGGACTTAGGGGAGGGGGACTTCCCTGAAACGCTCGAGTCCCTGTGTCAGATACATAAATGCAGGTCACAGAGACTTCACAGATTTCTTGACTTCAGACTGTTGGCTTCTGTGTTCCAAGATTTTATTCTAGACAGCTGTGTATCTCAGCCATTTCAGCGGACCATGGAGGACAGTGCGAACCAGGGAGCCCGGCGACTGCACCAGGCCGAAGCGCGGCTGGTCTCATCCCCTCCCCCTCGCATGCCCAGCTTTTCTCCGGACAGGCAGGTTAATGAAGTGGGCCGCAGCAGCCAGGCCCCCTGGGGTGGAAACGCAGTTTGGCCCTGGCATTCCTCTGAGTGGAGTCCTGGAAACCACAGACAGATGGAGATGACTCTCAGAAGAGACCAAGGAGGGACAGGGCGGAGTCCGCCGCTTCACGAGAGTCACTCTATTTATACTGAAATGCACTGGAAGAGCAACGCATCATTGCCCAGTACGGGTCAGGACACCCAGGACAAGACGTCTGGAACTTGTTGGGGAAGGGAATGGATAGAAGAGGAATGAATGTGATTTCCTCTTTATCCCCAGCTGTTTAATAAAACAAGTAGATGCTAACAGACCTGCAGACCAAGAGAGAGTCCCAGGTAACTGTGCAACTCATATTGGTGAAGACCCTGAGAAGCGCAGCGGGGAAACTGCATCCTTCCAGAGCCAGACATGTCAGTCTATGAAAAAGTGCACAGACCCATGGTTCCCCTTTTAACTCCAAAAGCCAAAGACCCACACAATCTCCAGTACTTAGGAGCTGGGAGGAAGTTAAGAGTTTCTAATTAAATTCCCTTTTTAAAAGTCTTGACAATTAAAAAAATGAGTATTGATAGCACAGAGTCACCACCTGCTGGCCGCAGAGGAAAGCACAGGTATTCTTGCGGACACTCCCAGGGGACAACGCCCCCACCAAGCCCGCAAACGCGGGTAAGAGGCAGACAGGGCGAAGCCGAACGCTGACACTCGCAGTCCACAAAACAGAAGGCTTACAGTCTTTCCATGGAATAACAGTCAGCGTCCACCCTTCGCAGACTCCCGATGCCTTCCCTTCCAAGAAACCTCTGCTGCGAGAAAGACTTCTAGTGTCTTGAAGCCCCTTTTGTGCCTAAATTAAGCCACCTGAGAAGCAGGTCAAGACAATGGGGAAAGCACTAGAATAGACCCCTGTGGCTTTAATGGTTTTGTCTTTTACACCCCACGGAAAAATTTCATTGATCTGGAACTTAGTTCTTACGACCTTAAAAATGACGTTACTATCAACACCGCCTCTCTTCTAGAGGTGACTAGAGAATGAAACTCCACATGTGGCTTCAGATCTCCTGGCTGCAGAGGACTGACGCAGCGAGACCCTCCCGAGCAGACCGGCTCGTGCCGGCTGCTCCCATGAGGCACGCGCGGCGTCGCATCACTGCTGGTCCTGTCAACAAAACGCTCAGGACACAGGACTGGTAAAACTCAACTTTACTGCAGTTCAAACAGAGACACTACTTCTGCACATGTTGAACACACAAGGAACGGACCAGCTGGACGGAGACCCCTGCACTGCTCAAGCCAGTCCACCGGCTGCAGGGCGGGGGCAGCAAGGTCTGCGGGACACGCACCGCAACAGTTACTTCATCCATGCTTAGACCTGCTGGTCCCTCACTCTATAAACATTTTATTTCTTCTTAGGTACTTCCCTTGAAATAGGATGAGCTGCCCGAGCAGAAGTAAAACAGCTACACCCATAAACCCCCAAATATTCAGGAATCGAGATTAGCTGTTTCCTGTGACCTAGGAAACCTTAAAATCCTCCACAGCCCACAGAAGAAGTGATTCCAGGTGCGAGGGTGTCCACAGCAGAGACGTCCCCCGCCACAGCAGGGGTGCACGAGGGCCACAGTAGCCCAGGACGAATTCTGGAGTGACGGAGCGTGAAACATCTCTGGTTGCACACAGCAGCTTGTCCCAGAGGAAAATCACACAGCGACATTACTCTGCAGCAAAAACTAGTCCCATAAACAGGAAGATAAAAGCAGCAAAAAATTCACACAAGTGCTTGGAAACAGGGCTTTAAGAGAAAAGTTCTAAGGTTTGGAGAGTATAGGTCTTCCTTTTTCTCCATGCATGAAGCAGAGCACAGTATCATTCTCTAAGCTATAATTTTTTAAAAAACATTTAATGTAAATATTTAAATAGTAATAGACACACTGAACTAGAATAAAATTAGCCATTGGGAAAGCCTGAGGCATTCCTTCAGCTGCCATGTTTCTTAGACTGGCTTGGTTATACCCATGGCCAACATAGCCCATCTGCCTACAACATTAATTTTGTTCAAGGATTTAAGGGATTTTTTTTTGGTCTTGAAAAGGTACTGGTAGATATCTATTGTTAATAAATACATAAGGGCCAGGCCTGGTGGCTCACACCTGTAATCCTAGTACTTTCATAGGCTGAGACAGGAGGATCACTTAGGCCAGGAGTTCGAGACCAGCCTGGGCAACATAGTGAGACTCCTGTCTCTAAAAACATAGAAAAATCAGCCAGGCATGGTGGTACACACCTATAGTCCCAGCTACTCGGGAGGCTGAGACAGGATCACCTCAGACCAGGAGTTTGAGGTTGCAGGGAGCTATGGTAACACCACTGCACTCCAGCCTGGGCGACAGAGCAAGACCCTGTCTCAAAAATAAATAAATAAATACATGACAGAGTACAAAACAAAAGACTGTGAGGAAATGATAACATTACCAAGCAGCTTCAAGGATCAACCATACCCTCAAAGGTAAGCATTCTTTTTACTTAGGGCGACTGATGGAAGTTTCCAACAGGATCATTTAGGATCCAGGACTAGGCCAGCACTGATAAATGTAAGTATGAGGTCACTCATGATAGCTGTGATCCACCTTCACGGGAAATGAGTCGGCCACCTCTACTCCAAACTATGACACACAAAATCTGGCTGCACTGGGGGTTATGGGATTGGCTCTTCTGAAACTCCCCTACTTTTTAGAAAATCCTATGGAAGGATCAGGTAACAGGAAAAAGGCTGGAGAATTCTGCCAAGTGAGTAGGATTGTCTCGGGTCGGGGAAAGAGGGATTTTAGACCACCACCATGGGAAGAAAGCAGGTCACCTTTCACTGAAGATGAGACCCAGTGGAAAGGGCCAGCAACAGTATCTGAGAGCTGGACAGATACCATCACGGTCTTCAGGGGAAAACCTGATTCTGCTGGGGTTTCCATCTCAATAGTGGACGTGAATTTAAGTCTCCAGGTCACTTCTAGAAGTACAGATTGTTTTCTGTGGAAGAGTAGAGGGATCAGAAAGAAACCAGCTCAACTCTGTTCTCCCCAACCCTCCCCAGCGCAGTCCGATCACCTCCCCTGCCAGTCGTTCACGTGAGCGTGTCTCCTCCCAGCTCTTCTCTGCTCCTCTTTCTCGTCCCTCCTAGGTCAGATCCTTAGCCAGCCTTTCTCCAACATTCACTGTTCCTCCCGGTCTTTCTTCTTTCTGATCTTTCTACCTTAGGAAAAAATCAGCAACTAAGTCTTTCAGTGGCTTTAGATAATTAAAGCCAAGCAAGCAACAAGTCGTCTTTTTCTATGGAAACTGCGTTAAAAATAGTTAAACATGGCGTCAAGCACCTCCGCCTCCATCGCACGCCACTTCTTGGAGAACTGAGCCGGCGCTCACTGAGTTCTGGTTCTGTCCAGTTCTCACTGGTGACCCTTCCTCCCTTGACCGTTCCTCGGCACTGCAGGTTAAGGAAAAAAGGGAGCGGGCAGGGCCAGGAAGGGACTGACCTAGGGGACAGGCTGGTACATTTTACTTTTAATCAAGTAAGAAACTAAAGTGTTCATGACTGTTGCCTCTGCAAAACTCTCCCTTCAGGTTCGAACTTGGAATTTTCCAGCTTTGGTCATGTATTTTATGCCCTTAAAGGGTTTGTACTTTTCTCCATACATATCCAGACGATTCACTTTGAGTCCTGGAAAGAAGGGAGAGAGGAAAAATAAGATACATTATTTAAAAGAAGTACGTAGCATAACTGTTTCCATTCGTTTCAATTTACAGAGATCCGAGGGACAGAGATCACTGTGACAAGGGACAGCTTATTCAGAACTGATGGATTCTCCACTCTTGGGACAAATGCTGACAGCAAAAAATGGCTCCAGGCCAGGTGTGGTAGCTCACGCCTGTAATCCCAGCACTGTGGGCCGAGGCAGGAGGATAGCTTGAGGTCAGGAGTTCAAGACCAGCCTCAGCTAAAGTGAGACCCCGTCTCTACTAAAAACAGAAAAATTAGCCGGGCATGGTGGCGCATGCCTGTAGTCCCAGGCTGAGGCAGAAGGACCGCTTGAGCCCAGGAGTTGGAGGTTGCTGTGAGCTAGGCTGACGCCACAGCACTCTAGCCCAGGACAGAGCGAGACTCTGTCCCAAGAGAAAAAAATGGCTCCAGCAGAAAAGCTGTCCTATGGGAAGACTCGTCCCTAAAGTGGAAAGAGCAGAAAATGATGGGCAGACTTAAAACAAAGATAAGGAAAAAATAGGCACGCTGCGATTTTCTCAAGTTATTGGGCTGAATAAGTGAATTAATAACAAAATAGATGAATTAATAATGAAGTAAATCATAACTAAATGAATAATGAAAAGTAACGAATTAATAAATATCTAATGATATTGTTTCCTTCTCATTTGTGTCTTAGACACTTTTATTCAGGTTACTTACTTGGGTCAACTTCAAAGTAAGGACTGCAAACTTTCCCCAGAAATGTGCGGGAAAAGATTTTACTAAAGATTACGTATCAGGTAATGAAACCAAACTTTGTAAATAGGGAACGACAGGAAGGCTTTCTGATTTCTGTGTCTTTTAGGACAAAGCCATTTCTGTTCCCTTCAAAGCCCCTGAGCTCTGGTCACTTACCAGAAATGGCGAGCTGCTGGATCTTAAACTGTAGGTTAATTGTGGGGTTTTCGTCTGGTTTGGAAGCTCCAGCCTGAAGACTCATGGTCCCCTTCAAACTTGGTAGCTTCTGGGGATTTATTTTTCCTACATCCCAAGACAGCATCTTCAAAGAAAATAAGATGGAGAAGTGGTCATTCCAATAAAATCATTAATTACAGTGGAACCCTTCATTTGAGGTGGTTGGGATCTAACCTCAGGGCGTCTGTCACAATATTATAAGCTGCCTCGAGGGTGTTTTTCAACAGAGAATCCTACTTGTCACCCTAAGTTATCTCGAAGGAGAAAACAATGTCCCTTTGATGAGCCTCCCCCGTGGAGAGCCCTGCTGAGTTACTTCTGCGTGATGTCTGCTTGTCCCTCACCTTTGTGACCGGGTCGAACGTGTGCGTCCCCTGAGACGGAGTGAGGCTCATATTCAGGACCCCTTTGGGCATCTGGCTGGTGACCATCACGCCCTCTATGGTCTTCCCCATAGTCTGCTTGGGTCCCACTGTTATTTCAAAGCGTCCAAGGGAACTACTGTCCCGGAAACTGATGTTATGTTTGACGTACACTGGAATCGCAACCAGGCTGCAAGAGAGAGAGGCGGAGGGCCCCCTGCGTGAGCGCACGGGACGATGGCAGTACTCCCTCCTGCACGGGTGCTGCTCCTGCGTTGGCAGCTTCTCTCTTACCTCCGCCCTTACGCTTTACCTCAAAAAATAAACACAGAAAAAAAAAACCCTCACTTTTTCCTTTTTGAAAAGCTACGATACTGTCTATTAAGTAGATTAACTCTCCTAATGTCTCTCTGAATAATACAAACAAAATCAAAGAGTATACAAAGCTCACTAGAGAAAGGCACAATGAACAAAACCGAAGAGCCACGAAGTCTGCCACCGTATGCTACTGCAGAAGTATGCAGCTGATGCTAATTTTATGGATGGACACCGAAGTCCTGCCTAACTGAGGTTCAGTGACCTGCCCAAGGTCACAGAGGTACTGAAGACGGGGTTTAGGTCCAGGCAGTCGACTTCCAGAGGCTTTGATGTCAAGCACTCAGACATACTCCTAAATGATTTATTCCAAATCACGCAGGAAAGTTCTGGTGGCTCTGAGGTTCCCCGGCTCTCTTCAGTCTACATACCTCTACCACGCAATGGTGCTTCCAAAGCCGTGAGCCCTCAGACTAAGGAGAATGTTCAAGACCAAAAATTTTATACTTTTCGAAGTATAATTTAATGCTTCTTTTGGGTTGGGGGTATTAATACAGGTATGCTAAGATTCCAATTTGAGAAAAGAACGTTCTTGTTTAGACATATAACGACAAAAACAGCAGTGAACTTAAGGAGCACTTATTTGTGTTAAGCACTAGTTAGATTCTCTTATGCAATCCTCGTAACAAGGTACTTCTATGATTTTCAATCTACAGACAGGAAAACAGAAACAGAGAGGTCAAGCAACTCACCCGAGGTTACCGAATTAGTAACTATAGAAGCTGGAATTTGAACCTAGGAAACTCTAGAGCCCGAGTCCTTAATCACCACAGATACGTTTCCACACGCACGTGCAAACACAGATTCCAGCCTTAGGCTAAGTGCCGCTTACTTCTGCGCGCTGACGTGGTAAGAGAGCAGGCGGAAGCTCCCGTCAGCAGGGATGAAGGACAGGGTGCGCTCGGATTCCCAGCGTTTGAAACGGACACAAGGATGAAAGCTGACGTCATCCAGCAACCTGGGGTTCTACGTCACCAGGCGAGCAAAAGCAAAAGGCAGGGATTAAACACCCGTATTTCTTTCATGAAAGTAATTTAGATGCTGTTTTCATTCACACACACACACACATACACACACCCCCACAGAAATTCCGTAGTCACTGATAGAAAATCCAAGCCTGATACAAGCTTTGTTGCTGTCCTATTTCTCCTTGCTCTACTCCACTCTCACCGCTCTGTCTTTCCAGAAGCATCTAATTTCTCATCCCAGGAACTCACGCTGTGGCCCGGGATTTACCATGAAGGAAAGCGTGAGGTCCGGCATCCCAGTCAGCTTCACACAGGCGTCGATCACCCCCTGGATCTCAGCCGTAATCGTGGAACCTGAGACGGAAACGCACAAAAGAATGTTAGAGATTCCCGAAGGCTTCTCTACCCTTCCCAACTCGCTCACTTCCTCTGTTCCGCCCTCCTCCTTTCCCTTCCTTCCTTCTTTTCTTCCTTCCTCCTTCCCTCTCTCCCTTTCTTCTTTCCTTCTGTCCATCCATCCATTCATACAATCCATCTGTCCATCCTTCCAGACATTTATCAACTGCATATCAAGTAGGAGGCACTGTGGTAAGTACTGGGATAAAGAGGTGAATTATAGTTATTAGCCTAAAGTTTTCAATCTAGTACCAGAATTAAACAGAGCATCGTTATCTTAGCCAATGGGTCAGAAAATATCCTATCAGCAACTGCTCTCCCTGAGGTCACCAGTGAGCTGTGCTGCCAAACCAAACGACACTCTTGGTCTCTACCCCGCAGGCTCTCTCTGCAGCATCTGTCACTGCTGATCACTTCCGCTTGTCAGATCCTCTGCTGCTTCCTCCAGCTCCTCTTCCTCAGTGTCTTCTGCAGGCTTCTCTTTCTTTGCACATCCCTTAAATGCTTTTTCACAGGTCCAAACTTCTCTTTCTACACACTCTCCTTGGGTTATTTTATCTACTTTTCAGGCTTCAGTGTTCATTTGTGGCCAATTATTTCCTACTCTTTTTTTTCTTTTTGAGACAGAGTCTCGCTCTGTTCCCCAGCCTGGAGTGCCGTGGCGTCAGCCTAGCTTACAGCAACCTCAGACTCCTGGGCTCGAGCAATCCTCCTGCCTCAGCCTCCTGTGTAGCTGGGACTACAGGTGCAGGCTACCACCGCCAGCTAATTATTCTATTTTTAGTAGAGATGGGGTCTCGCTCCTGCTCAGGTTGGGATTTCCTATGCTCTTTGCATGTTCAGCCCAACGCCTGCCTGATGGACACCTCCACTTGGATGTCACCAAGGCACCTCCAACTCCATATGTCAAAAGTGAATTCGCTGTCTCACTCTCTGTTCTCCATGTCTGTGTGACGACACCATCTATCCTGCTGCCTGAGCCAGAACAAGACGCATCTTGACCGGTTCTACTTCCTCAGTCCCCACAACCAGCCAATGCTCAGTTCCTGTCCGGTCCGGGACCCACGTCTCTCACCTCCATGCATTCCTCTCCACACTGCACTATGGGTGTCCGTGTTCTGGCCTGGACTGCGGTGGCCTCTTCCTGCCCCTGCCCTCAGCCTGAGCCCACTTCAAGTCTCGCTTCACATGGCAGCTGGGCTGACTGCTCTTAACTGCAAGTTTGACCAAGTTACCCTCCAACTTAAAACTCTTCGATTGCTCCCAACTTCCCTCCTTAAAATGGCATGCAAGGCTCTGCGTGATCTGGCTATCAGTTTTCTTTCTTTAACTTTTTCATTGACATAAAACAGTAAAATGCAAAAACTTTAAGTGTGCAGCTCAGTGAATTTTTAAATATGCACATGCCCATGCAAACACCACCCACAGCAAGATATGGAGCCTCTCCGGCATCCCAGGCCACCCCCTCTTACGCATCCCAACTAATCTGCATCCCCGAAATTCTGACTTCTATTACCTTGGATTAAGCTGCACCTGTTTTTGAACTTTGTGTAAACGTCATGCACCGTATATAACCTTATGCATCTGATTTCATGGCTCAATGCTGCAAGAGTCACCCCTGCGGGGGGGTGAACCGGCAGCCCATTTGTTCACAACTGTAGAGGACTCCACTGCACGACCACACCAAAATTTATTTAGCCTTCCCATTGCCACCCGCCACTTGGGTTACTCCCAGTGTGGGCTAATGTGAAAGGCTGCTATGCCTGCTTAGTTTTAAAGCCTCATCACCTACTTGTCTCTTAATCCTGTCATATGAACTTTATTTCCCAACAGTATTTTACTCATTTTAGAGGGTCCATATTTTGCTCCCAAAGCCACTCAAGTCATAATAACTTCCATTCACCCTACTGATGAAGCAAACACACTCTCACCTCTGCACCTGTGCTCAGGATGGGTGGGGGGGCCTCCCAGGTGCTCCACCTTTTGACCTTTCTCTCACCCCACTAGACTTTAATTAAACTTTCTGCAGCCACAGACTACATTTTATTCATCATCGAATGCCCACTATCCAGCCCTGTGCCATAACACAAGTTTTTGTTTTTGTTTTCTTTTGAGACAGAGTCTCGTTCTGTTGCCCAGGCTAGAGTGAGTGCCGTGGCGTCAGCCTAGCTCACAGCAACCTCAAACTCCTGGGCTTAAGCGATCCTACTGCCTCGGCCTCCTGAGTAGCTGGGACTACAGGCATGCGCCACCATGCCCAGCTAATTTTTTCTATATATTTTTTTTTTTTTTTTTGAGACAGAGTCTCGCTTTGTTGCTCGGGCTAGAGTGAGTGCCATGTGCCATGGCGTCAGCCTAGCTCACAGCAACCTCAAACTCCTGGGCTTAAGCGATCCTACTGCCTCGGCCTCCCGAGTAGCTGGGACTACAGGCATGTGCCACCATGCCCAGCTAATTTTTTCTCTAT